CCCGGAAGTCATCTTCAGAACCACCTTGCCCATGCCTTCCACAGCAGACTGAGCAGAGTTTCCCATCCACACCTTTTCACCCTCAACGGTCTCAAAGGTGTTGAACATCTCTCGGTTGCAACACAAGTGCCTGGTTGCACCGGTATCAATGAACCATTCACGAGGGTTTGAGCCCACGAGGTTCACTTCGGTCACCATAGCCGAAAGGCTAATCTCGACCTCCTTCTGACTGCTATCTCCAACAACATTGGCTTCAGAACTCTTGTTCTTTTTCCTTGGAGCCTTGCATTCAGATGCTCTATGGCCATGCTTGCCACAATTGTAGCATTCACCACGAAACTTGTTCTTGGTAACGCCACCTTTCAGACCTAGCTTTCACTTGTCCTTCTTGTTCCTCCTGGAGCTCTTACCGTGCTCCACAATGTTGGCCTTAGCGCCAACAACGACAGGAGCCTTCCTATCATTCGTCCTGTTCCCTTCCTCAATCCTGAGTCGCTGGATCAGGTCCTCCAGATTCATCTCCTTTCGCTTATGCTTAAGGTAGTTCTTGAAGTCCTTCCACCCTGGAGGCAACAAATGGATCACAGATCCCACTTGGAAGGCTTCACTTATCACCATGCCCTCGTCACGGATCTCATCAAAGATTAATTGCAAATCTTCTACCTGACTTAGCACGGTCTTTGAATCAACCATTTTGAAGTCGAGGAATCGGCCAACTACAAATTTCTTTGAGCCGGCATCCTCACTTCGGTATTTATGATCCAAAGCTTCCCACAACGCTTTTGATGTGCTTATCTTTTGATATACATCATATAGCGTGTCACACAATCCATTCAGGATGTAGTTTCGGCAAAGGAAGTCCGAATCCTTCCAATAGCCAACTGCCATCACGGATTGTGCATCTTGTTCCTTCAACTCGGGAACCTTCTCGGACAAGAACCTTGCCAAGCCGAGAGTTGCTAGGTAGAACAACATCTTCTGTTGCCACCTCTTGAAGTTCGAACCAACACCGGTGAACTTCTCCGGCTTTTCAGCCGAACCACTCTGTACCGAAGGTACCCGAGACATGGGAATGTATCCCTCAGTGCTCCCACCATCTTGTGAACCAACGTTCACTGGTGTAGCTTGGGAATTAGCAACATTGTTGCCATTCCCACCACTGTTATCCGCAACAACGTTATTGTTGCCGTTTCTTCCATTGTTGTCCGCAACAACATTATCCTCCCCATCAATTGGCAGTACGGGATGCTCCATTTTCTTCAAGGAAATTCGGAGAAGACCACCAACAGGAAAACAAATATATATAATAAGGTTTTAAGACTGTTGGTATAAAACACAAATAATAATCAAAAATAAGATTATTATTTTCTGGAAAGAAGGGAAGAAAAGATGAAGAAAAGTGGCTAGTGTTTTGTGTTGGGTTTTTGCAAGAGTCAAGTGAGCACTCTTTCCTTAAAACCTTATTTGCCACCTCCCAAAGATGCTAGGAGCGTTGTGGCCTAGGCTTCCCAGGATAAAACTTGCTAATGATTCAATGTTTGAGCACTCAAATAAGGAATCCGACGAGCAAGACAATGGCTATGAACACAGTATGGCTTAAAGAAAGAGTAGAAGCAGAGAGGTTTTGAGGCTAAAAGATGAACTTTCGTGTTCTATGTTTTCTGTGTAAAACTCTACTGCCCAACTCCTCTTTTTATAGGGGTGAAGGATTTAATAGCTTTTAATTAGGCACTTAAGGGCACCCCTTCACCTTCCTGTAACAGCACCATTAGCATGGCCTTCAATTCAAAATTTAAAATTGGAATTAACTCAGAAAATTAATTCCGTAACAGTAGAAATGGACAAATCAATAATTTATTCCATTCGCGAAATGTATTTTTTATTTTAGGACGGGGATGATATATTAATGAGTTAATTACCGAAATTACTAATTTGGTCATTGACTATTTTTTTGACCAATTTAGTCCTTCAATTTTAAATTTTTTAACCAATTTGGTCCTCCGTTTGTTTGACCGTTAGTCAACCGTTAACTTGGGACCAAATTGGTAATTTGCTATAGTCAAGGGACCATTTTGGTAATTAACTTTAAGGGTGGGCAATTCGGTTCAGTTTTCTCGAACCGAACCGTACCAAACTAGTTAGATTCGGTAATATACCGAACAACCGAATGGTAATAGATTCTTGTATACCGAACGGTTCGGTAAAAACTCGAACCGAACTGAATTTGTTCGGTAAAAACCAAACCGAACCGAATACCGTTTGAACTTTGGATTGCTATTTTGTTATATATTAGACTTTGGATATGGACTATGTAAACACCGTAACACATAATATAGAACTTTTGATAACAAATCATAAAGAAATCAAATAAAACATTTACGAGAGATACCCGTGAAAATAGCTTAATGGCAGATCAAGCAGTAAGGGACTTGGATTGACTTTTTATTATTATTATTATTATTATTATTATTATTATTATTATTATTATTATTATTATTATATTTTTAAAAAAATAAACCAAACGGTATTCGGTTCAGTTCAATTTTTTACCGAACACTTCGGATCGATTTTTTATCGAACCGTTCGGTATACAAGAATCCAATACTGTTCGGTTGTTCGGTATATTATCGAACCAAATTAGTTCGGTTCGGTTTGGTACGGTTCAATTCGAGAAAACTAAACCGAATTGCCCACCTCTAAAGTTAATTACCAAAATGGTCCCTTGACTATAGCGAAATTACCAATTTGGTCCCAAGTTAACGGTTGACTAACGGTCAAACAAATGGAGGACCAAATTGGTTAAGTTTTTAAAGTTTAGGGACTTTATTGGTTAAAAAAAATAATCAAGGACCAAATTGATAATTTCGCTATAGTCTAGGGACCATTTCGGTAATTAAGTCTATATTAATTTACGCACCTTTATTATACATATTTGTTTGAAATAATAAAGGAAAAGAAAAAAGAGACAAAACCCTAAACCCTAACGTCTTGCAATTGACAAACGTTACTTGGTGTCTTCTTCTCCTCTGAGTTTCAGTACCTTCCGCTTACCTCAAGCTTGTTGAGAAGAAGCTCTGATATATTAACTGAATAATAAGCAAAAAGGGAAAAACCTAATATCAACGATTCAAGTCATTCAACGAGAGTCGAGAGAGTCGACTCTCGAGACAAGGACAACGAGTCCAGCAGCGACGACTGCGAGGCGGCGAGGTTAGTGCCTTAGTGGTCTACTGGTCTTCTTACTCTTCTAGAAATTGAAAAGTGAAACTGTTACTCTGCTAGAAATTGAATCGTGAAATTGAAACTGAAACTGAAACTGCTACTCTGCTAGAACTTGAAAGTTGAAACTGCTAGAAATTGAAACTGGTAGTAATGTTTGTTATTGGTGGTTTGCTCGAAAGACTCAACATCTAATTTAGACCCAAAAAGAAGAAGAAGAAGAAATGCAGTCCAGTTTTCAAAAACAAAAATAAAATTGCAGTCCAGTCTCTGTATGCGCATTATTAATCTCTCAATTGAAGTTGATTTGCATTCCTTAACGCAGAATCTGTCTTTGACGCTTTCTGTCTTTCTACATTAAAAGTGAGGTTAGGGTTTGTATTGTTGGGAATCTGAAATGTAAGTTTGATTAGGGTTTTGTACTAGTCATTGAAAACTAATATGTTATATTGTCTTTGTTTGGAGAAAGCTTATGTGTTATTGTCTTGTGATATCCCACATTGGTGTGTGATTGGAATTGTATTGGCCATATAAGATTGTGCTTCTACACTAATATGCAACATTTTAGCTTGTTTAGTTCTAATAAGAGTCCAACTTGTATTCCATATATCCATGTTTGTGCCTTACCCTTGCCTGGACTTATTTATACTGTAATATGTTGGAGAGAACTATGAAGATTGAAATAAGATGTACTGAGTAGTGAGTACTATGTAGTTAAGTATTGTATCCATGTGAGGACTTTAGAGTCAATTATGGAGACCGCATTCTGGATGTTCTATTGTGTTATACGGAGTAAATTTTTTTCTGTAGTAGTCAAGCCTTTTATGCTCATTTCTTTAACTGAAAATAAATCGCCTCAATAAAACCATGCAAGCCATAAATTTCATCCTTCTAACTCAAATGCTGCCGGTAGGATGAAAGGAGGTACTTATCATTCTAGAATCTAGATTTCTAGTATAGTGTTGTGTCTAAAGATGGCAATAGATATTCTATTTTACCCTTTGTATTTTTATTATTGTTGAACTTCAAGACTATAATCTGTTTGGTTAAGTTGGTTAATCTCATATTAATAGGGTAAAGGTTGGTAATAAACTTTTGTCCTATTCAGGACCTACTTTGAAGCCTTTTTAAAGGCCTATATATTAAATAAATAAATAGGTTTTTTAAAAGGCTTTAGGCTAGGCCAGGCCAACTGTAGGCTCAGGCTTGAGCCTAACAAAAAGCCTACATACAGGCACAAGCCCAGGCTTTAGATTTCCATAGCAGGCCTAATTTTCTAAAGCCTGGCTCGGCTAAGCCTATTTCCACCCCTTTTTGATGCGTAGCTGCGTGGGCATGGTGCTGAGACCCGCCGGACCACCACCGCCTTCATTCCCTTCTTGATTTAATTCTCTCCACTTTCAGCTTCTTCTCGTGCCTAATATTTTTTTCCTAATAATTACATTGTTGTTTCCATGTGTGCACCAAATATAACTTGAATTTAATATGCTCTATTTATAATGCTTATGGGCTATAATGATGGATGAAGTTTTTGCCATGTCTAATTACTGCAAAATAAGTTGTGATGCCAGTAGCCCCCAATATGGGGCCATGTGTGAACTAAGTGTAAAAAAACTAGAATATCACTTTTTCTCTGCATTGGCATTATTTGATTTACTTATATTTATATATGATAATGTATATGAAACATTTAGTTAAACAATAATACTAGATGAAACTTTGTGTTGTAGGTGCAGAATAACCATATTTCAGCTGTCTACAACTGGAATATTATAAAAACAGAGAGGAAAAAGTAAAAAAAAAAATGATAAGAGGTGGAAGAAGCCTGGTTTCTTCACCACCGGCATTCTCAAATGATGGGAAGAAGCTCCTTGTCTGCACAGCTAGCACTGTGTCTGTTTTCAGCACCTTCACTGGTTTACAGGTTCCTCTAACCTCTACCTTAATAAATTTCCAACGAGTTGTAGACAAATTATCCTCATCCATGTTGTTCTGTTCTGTAGATAGGTGAGTTGGAAGGTCATACAGCACTGGTAACATCAGTTATTGTAGTGCCAGCAACAACACCAGCAAGTAAAATACTGTGCTATTGTTGGACAGCATCACTTGATGGCACAATTAGATATTGGGACTTTTCAGTAGCTGAATTGATGAAGACTATTAATATTAAGACCCCAATTCATTCCATGGTATTGTGATTTATCATTCATGTTTACTTCTCAACGGAAATTGATGAGTTGTTGTTGGGATTTTAGTGAGCACTTAATAGATGAAGTTAAAAGGATTTATTTATTGTTTGTAGTTATTAAAATGGCATTTCTTTCATTTATCTTGTGATTCTACCCTGTCTTCTGTAACGGGGAAATTCTTTTTATTGGTATTCTCAGGTGATTCCAGGACTAGTATGTCAACCACTGGAGAGCAGTGAAAAATCTATGGATGTTTTTGCTTATATTTCTTCTCAGGACATCAAACAAATAGATGGACAAACTTTAAGTTGGCAGATACAGAAGTGTAACTTAACAAAGTCCCGCCTGGCTGGTGGAGTGATATTAACAAAGGTGTGCGAGGGAATATCATACATATGCTGTCTAATCTTGGTTTGACAGTCTCAAGCTTGTAACCCACATGATACACATCTTTATGCTTTGTTTTCTTTCCGTCATGATTTTTAGTTTCAGAGGCAATTGTCAACAATATTTCATTATTCTGCACAAGCATATTACAGTAGCTTATATACTTCATTTTTGTAGACTGGGGATTACACTAAATGAAATCTTTTGGTTTTTTCAGAGTAAAAAACCTCAATTAATCACCCTCAGCCCCAGCGGGAAGTATATTGGGTTCTGTGAAAAGCACAAAATTCGTATATGGGAAGTTCCAACAAAAGATTCTGATCATGCAATCCATAAAACAATCAGATTGCATCATACCAAAAAATTAAACATTCTAGCTTTCCATCCAACTGAGAGAATTGTAGCAGCGGGGGATGTTACAGGAAGGATCTTAATATGGAGGCATTTTGGAGAAAGAACGTTTTCTATTCCTCATAAGTTGGAAAATAGAGAAGTTATCAAGGATGCAGAGGAGAGGCCTGGAGTGAGAGGCGATGATGATGCTGATATGTGCACCACATGGCATTGGCATTCTGCAGAAGTGACGGTCTTATTTTTTTCTTCTGATGGTGCCTATCTCTTCTCAGGTAGAAACACAAACTGTAATCATTTTTTATAAATGTGAGATGAGATATTTTATTTCTTTATAGTGTTTTGTCTTTTCCTTTAATTGTTTTGGGTATAGTTTAGTCAGTAGCTCTTGCATCTAGTAAATTTTCTGCTGCTTAGTGCAATGACGTTTCTAACTGATCAGGTGGAAGAGAAGGAGTTCTTGTGCGTTGGCAGCTAGATACAGGAAAGAGAAACACTCAGTCACGAATTGGGAGTCCGCTTTCATATTTTACAAATTCGCCAGACCATTCACTGTCTTCAGTAAGAAAATATCTTTGCACATGTTTTTATAGTTATAACTGAATTATTAGATCATAATAAGTGGCTTCTCCAGGTTTCTTGTGCAGATAACAGAATTCAACTGCTTGAAATGCCATCCATGAAAATGCTAAGGTCCATATCAGGGATCAAGGTTTGTAGCTACTATATCTCTGTCAACAAGTAAAAGAAATGTTGACTAAGAAGAAAGGGCAAGGACTTGAATTTTACCTTACTTAGTCTTTGCGCATTAACTATGTTGTTCTGACCATGTTTATATGTGAATTGAAATGAAGCATGATGAAATTTAAAAGAATTAACATTAGGTGCGACCCGTTGGTTACTTATTGTCTTGCTACACATAATTTTACTTTTTGTCTTGCTACACATAATTTTCAGCTGCACAGTTCAGTCCCAGAGAGATATAATGGGCAATGTAGTGATGCTGTATTTGATTCTACTGCTGGGCTAGTTGCCATATGCACAGAAAATTACTGTGTCCAACTCTTTAGCATGTTGGATGACCGAGAAATTTCATTGGTAAGCATTTAAAAAAAATTAAGCAGTTTAATCATTTGGTTCATTGTTTCTATTCCGTTCTGTGTGATATTTGATTATTTTTCAATATTTTTATACAGTTTATTGAACTTAAATAACCATCAAAACAACAACGGAAATAAATTAACAAATAAATAAGTAAAGCACAAATAATGAAATAATTATGGTGGAGTTCTGCATGGTGGTTACATGTTTTCGTTGGATGTAAATCCCACTGGACAGTGGGTATATTTCGTTGGTGGTTTTTCACCTAAAGGAACAAGTATTTATTAATTGTTTGCTCCATATTGTGACACAAGTCACACAACATATTGGTAGTCTGGCTGGGCTGGAGCCTGGAAGGTATGGGTGCCATATGGCTACTGCTGATTTGGTGTTTGTTATAAACATATATGTATCTCGTAATAGTTGTGGTTCTCATGATTTACATTTTGTAGGTTCAAGTCTGTGAAAGAAATCATCAGCCGGTTGATGAAGTCACGGTACATTAAATCCTCTGTTTACATTTCTTTCATCGCAGATGATGTGTTATGCGCAGAAAGTCTTGGCTTTTGTGTGTATATATATCTTCATATAGGATGTGCATACTTTCACAGGTCATAGTGAATATGGTGGCTCTCTCTCCAGATGGTTGTACCATGAGTACTGTAGAGACTAGGCTTCCTGAAGAAGGAATTGGAGGCCTTGTATGTCTAAAGTTCTGGACAAGTGGCTCTCAAAATAAAGACTTCAGCTTATCTACTGTTATATATGAACCACACAGGTTTTACTTCGTTTTTGATACTATACATTTGTGTAGTATCATTCTCTTTAGTTACGAGTATTAATAAATGCAAAAGAGGACAAAGTGAGATCCTTATCTGGTTATTTATAAAGCTCCAATTCCTTTGTCGACTAAATGATTTTCACTGTATAGGGATGCTGGAATCTCTGCAATCACTTTTCATCCTACTCGTAACATGGCTGTCAGCTCTTCATATGCTGCTGAATTTAAAGTAAGTGTATCCTTCTGCTCAAATTCAGAAGTAACTGTGCCCATCAAATTGGGGTTAATTAGTGATTCCTATATCTCATTTCTCTCTTTGGCAGATCTGGGCTTGCAATAGTGATGTTCAACATGGGGATCAGATGAATAATTCTGGATGGACATGCCATGCTGTTGGCTCATACAAGTATAACTGTTTCTACTATTCACGTATTATTTTCCAGAAACAGCATAACATTTCTTGGTAGACATATTTGATGACTTGAAATAGGAATCCCACTAAGTTAAAATATTGCATGGTAGGCTGAAAACTAATAAACACCAATCAGAGAAATACATATACTAGTTGATTGAATCCCAATTAGTATTGTTTCTTGTACTCCAAAACTCAGCTATCTATTAAGTGAATTCTTGCATGATTGTAAAGATGGATGTGATTAGCAATTTCATTATTTGGGGGTTTACAGCTGCTGATATGCAAATGATTAATTTTTTGAATTTGGTGATTACTTCTTATTTTCATATCATTTTTTACTAAGAGTTTACTTCTGCAGAAAGAAGCCGATGACAGCTGCTGCATTTTCTGCTGATGGTTCTGTTCTGGCTGTTGCTGCAGAAAGAGTTATTACTTTGTGGGATCCAGACAGGAATGTGCTGGTTGCTACAATTGGAGAGACTTTTGAGGTAAATTATCTTAGCATGCAAAGTATAATTGGAATATTGATACTATTTGTATGCAGACGGAGTGTTGTGAAAAGCTATTGCAGTTTTTTCACCAGTTAAGATCCCCCCTGATGTTTGTTATAGCTCTCTTAGGACTTCATTGGATGGTCAAGAGGCTGATAGAAAAACAACTACATTCCTCTGTAATACAAACAGAGATCGCTCTTCTAGATAACTGTCTCTTGGAGAAATGTAGATGGGGGAGTAGTGACACATAAATGCTGTCCACATGCTCTGATGTGCATAGAATTTATATAACAATATTGCTGAGCTTGGCACCCTAAATAAATACTCAGTAATAAAAGCAGAGATAACATGTATGCAGTAATCTTCTACTAGCTGTCTCTTGGAGAAGGGTAGATGGGGTAGTCACACACAAATGCTGTCCACTTGCTCCAAATGTTTTTGTTGACATTCCCTACTCTTATCTATCAGCATCAAATGATCTTATTTGAGTTTTCCACTTTTTGTAGCCAATTTCATCCCTTTCATTTATTGGGAAGTCAGAATATCTAGTATCCTCATCTCAAGGCTCTAATCCTCAAGTGTCTGTTTGGAGTATGTCAAAGCTGTCTATATCTTGGTCTTGCAAGATTCATGCAGAAGGTTTGATCTGTTTCTTTTTCTTGCATTTCTCCATATGTACTGTAATTACATACCGTTTGAAAAATATATATGGTTATCTGAATAACTATTGTAATAATGTATGCAGCTGTATCGTGTGCTATAGATGGTTCGTCTTTTGCTATTCTTGCACTTCTTCCTGATTCAGCTAGGTCCAAGGCATCTAATGAAGCTTCATTGAATAGTGTGGATGGGGTAATTTTATTGTATAATGTAGAAACTCCTGTTCCTTTGGCTACCTGGCTTGTGAAGAAGGTATGAATTTCCTTTCTGTTTTTCTGAGCTTTGTTACTGATTTCCTCCATCTAGTTGGGTCTCTAGTTACTCTGGAGGCTTGCATTACTAGAAAGTAGAAAGGTGTTTACTGAAGTTGTCATTGAAACAAATCTTTTGCTCCTCTAGTTACAACTTTTTTTTTTTTTTTGGGTTTCATCTACCTTTTGCCTCTAGTTTATTTTGCATCATAGATTTTGTGGGAATTCTCCCCATTTTCTTCTCTTTTGTCTAATAATGGGTTTTATCCGTCTTGATGGTGTTGAAAAAATTGATTTCTGATTTTATTTGTGAGATAATTATATAGAAGCAATAGCACTGTTATAGTTCAGCTTGAGTATACAAGTGAGCAAAAGCTGAACCCAATCATCATATCTTTTGTTCATACAATTACCACAGGCTCAAGGTGGAGGGATTGGTTTCATTCTTCGAAGTGATAAATCAGAAGAGGATCTTACAGATGGAAAACAATTGCAGATGCTATGCTATATAAATAGTGATCATGAGTATGTTCTCTTTGACCCATATAGTCAGCAACTTCATGATCAGACAATTATACAGAGACATAAATTTCTTCAATCTGATGAGACAGGTAATGCCACTCTCCTATTTGCCTTATACAATTTCAATCTTTATTTCTTCTCCCTATACTTTGATAAATTATACCATGCTAATCGAGAAGTGATCTGTATGGAGATCGATGGGGAACTTCACCTTTTTACTTATTAAATTATACAAATATGCTACTATTTTCAAATGTGAACACTGATAGTGTTTATGAACATATTTTTATCTATTGAGAAGCAGAAATAAGTCATAGTAGTCCCTTCCATAATATAAGTTTGACTTAAAAATCTTCCTTTGTGCAGGGAGGTCTGGGTATGCATCTATGTATGGGGAACTACCAGAGTTTCACCAAAACCGAAATCAAACTTCATCTGTCGTCACATCTGTACCGTCAGAAAAGCCATGGGAAACCCTATGCAGCGGCCCGTCTTATGCTCTTCCTCTTTCTGAATTGTGTTCAAAATTTCTTGAAACATTTCTGGAGAAGAGGATGATACCTGTGGAGTGAATCTCTTGCCTGTTATTTTGTCATGAGTTGCAATGCCAATCTCTTCTGCAATTACTTTATCACAACAATGGTGCAAAGGAGGAGCAGCAACATGTATTTGAGGTATGTGAAGCAGTTTTGCTGCTGAAGATGTGAGCATGGGTCGGCAAAACCTAGCATTGTATTTGCTTTAATCTTCCGACTTTATGGAAGCAAATTTTGTAATCCCTAAGAACCAGCAAAATCGTTTCACCTTTACAAAATGGGAAATTTTGTCAATCTACAAACTGATTTTTAACTTTCACACTATTATTAGATTTGATTTCAATTACCTTGCTCTTGTTTGGCTGTTTTTTGTTACTCTAATGAATTTGAACAAGGATGCATGAATACTAGTTGTAGATACACGTTGCACAAAATGTTATGCCCAATGACCGATAGATGGGTTTTGTGGTGAGTTTGTCACACGGGAGACATGTAATATTTTTTCTTTTATGAACTTATTATAACTAATTGATTTATCATGTAGGTTTTGAAAATGAAGCAAACATGAGTGCAAAGCATACTACCATCATTTTAACGATTAATTATGACATGAATTTGCAATGAGGGTTAAATAAGTTTTTTAATTATTTATTAATTGTAATTAAACTATTGAATAAGCATTCAACATTATTATTGGACAGGTCCAATTTTAATTTTTTAAAAAGGAAAAACGACATATATGGTTCTTGAGTTATACCCATATTGATGACTTAGTTTCTTGATTATGATCGGACACCGTTAACTATTGTCCTTCATTGCATCACTTTTTAAAGTACATTGATTAAATTAAACAAAATGGAGGTATAAGGACTAAATGAACAAAACACTATAGTATAAGGACCTCCATCATAAGTACTTTGACCAATTTTATATATTAGATGTTACATTTTGCACCATGAGTGATTTTAAAGATGAAATATATGTAAATCTCAATCTATATACTTTATATTTGATGCAATGAGTTTAAACCATTGGGTTTGAGGATTTCTCATGTCACCCTCTTCCAGACCAACACACTTTCTCGTCAAAATTGTAGAGGAAGAGTACGAGGAATCGAAATCCAAGCACAATACTACTCGATTGTCACCTCTATTAGCTAGTTGAAACATTGAATTGGAAGCCAAGCTCCAAGTATTACTTTGCCTATCATTGCAAATTGTAGAGAGGCCAATAGGAAGATCTTCCCCAACCACTGTTAAGCATTTCAAAGACTCTATCATTTGTATTGGCATCCCATCTGCCTCTTGGATGCATTGACTTGCACCCACACAGTTACTCATGTGGATTTGATCGTGGACCACTTGTGCACATCGCCCGCTCAATGGATGATATAGTACGTAATAAGTTGGTCCACTTGACTTCGGATCTTCATACATGTGTAAAAAAAGTACGTTATTAGTCACGTCATTAAAACTATTGGTTGAGTTAATTACTGATTTGGTTCCTCGACTATGAGAATTTCACCAATTTGGTTCTTGACTTTTAAAGTTCTTTAATTTAGTCCCTGACTATGGCTTTTTTTTATTATCCAAAATAGTCCTAATCGTTAGACATTCGTTAACTGGGGACCAAATTGGTAATTTTGTTATAGTCAAGGGACCATTTCGGTCATTACATGCACCATTTTTTTTAAAAGTTAATTACTGAAATGGTCCCTTGACTATAGTGAAATTACCAATTTGGTCCCGAGTTAACGGATGTCTAACAGTTAGGACCATATCAGGTAAAAAAAAAGCATAGTCATGGACTAAATTGAGGAATTTTGGAAGTTGAGGATCAGATTGCTGAAATCATAATCGAGGGACCAAATCGGTATTAACTCATTACTGGTTTAAAATATTAACTTTAAGGCTAATTTTAATTTTGTCCTTCAAATTGGTAAGAATGATTAAATTATGTATAAGATAATACCTTGGAGTTTTTGTTGCAGAAAGTGTAATTTGGAGTGGAAATTGGGATTTCTAAGGGCAGTCCAATTGGTATTAAACATGCCATATGTTTCATCTGGACCATACTGCCCTTCCTTAAGGTAATAGCTTCCTTGGAGAGCCCAAACACTCCAATCCAAATCCAAATCAGCCAAATACGAATGCATGCACGGCAAGTAGACATTATCAGCCTCAGATTTTCCCATTTGGTCAATCCCAAACTCACTCACAAACAGAGGGGCTGCATCGTCCTTTCCCCCCCCCTAACCAAGAACCCTGCCTTCTCCTCCATTTCTATTGTGATCTCGTGACAAACCTTGTTCAATGGGCCTGCCACCCACACCTTCGACTGCCCCTCGTTGAACGAGTAGCGATGCGCCTCGTAAACCACCTTCTTCTTCTTCATCATCTTCAGCTCCAATGGCGTATCCTTCAGGAATCTGAAATCCAGATCGTAGCTCAGCCCGGAGATGATTACCAGGAGGTTTGGGTTTGCGGTGTTGATCGTCTTTGCCCCCTTCTCTACGTACTTGTACCATTCATCCACGTTCTGTAAGGGGCCGCGTAGCTCGTTGCGCAAGCTCATGCCTACCACCTTCAATTGGGCATGCAAAACAACAAAATTTCATGTTTTGAATCACTAACATGCAAGTAGAAAGTATCTAATTAACAATACAATCAGGTATACCATACTTCGCCCCATGAGCAGCTCAACTGGTATGAAATTTGTCACAAGAGATTAAGGACAGTGTGGGAAGGAGGCTCCTTGTACTAATTTACCACTCCACAAACTGTTGGGCTGCGGTTTAAATTGCACTAGTAACACTAAATATTTACACTAACTCGAGTTTTTTATATGAAAGTAAACCTTTCTAGAAACAAAGTAACAAAGGGGTGTTTGGTGTTAGCTGATTGAGTTAGTAGGTTTGATTAGTTGATAACATTAGTTGATTGTTAGATGATTGAGTTAGTGAATTTGACTAGTTGATACTTGATAGCATTAGTTGATTGTAGAAAAGTGTTTCGTAAATTAGTTAGCTGATTATATATAACATTTTGGAGCAATAAGTTGTTACAAAAAGCTAATTAATCAAACACTTATATTGATTGTTTAATCAGTCAAATAGCTAATAGTGGTCAAATCAGTCAAAATTGACTGATAGGTAGACTATTTTACCAAACAGGCCAAAATCTTGTAATTCTCCACCAACCAAAATATAAAAGTGCGTGGATTCTTTTGACTTTGGTTTAATTTAGAGGTGTTTTGACAATTAATGAATAATTGATAGCTAGTAGTTTTCTTAACTGTTTTGATCCATTAATAACCTAAACTGTTTGTAGAAAAGTGTGATATTTCGTTTCGTTTTGTTTTGCTTAGCATTGAAATAGTGCATGTAACAAACGTACCATGGGCGTATCCTTGAAGATGTTAGCAACAATGGCTAGACCTTGCAACCATTCATCAGGATCGAAGTAAACGCCGCCGAAGAAGCCGTTACCGTCGTGGTCGGCGCAGCACCACATGGGTTTGCTAACATGGTTATCAAGCACCATCATGATTCCATGTCTACCAATCTCTTCAACCACAGCCTTCCAAGCATCCACCAGATTCAGGCTCAAGAGGTTCGGGTTATTACTGACTAGGCCTGAAATCGCCTCGGTCAATCTCAGATCGCCAAACGACTGGACCACCGTCATGTTGGCGTAGCGAGTGAACATGTAGGTGGCCCATGTGAGGCGCACGCAGTTGAAACCCATTGTTGAGACGTGTGTGGCAATTTGGCTTAAAGGCCTCCTGTCTAGGCCCTCGGGTAACATGGGTTCCAAGTGGCCTGCCCAACTAGCACAGGCCAACTTCACCCTTTCCCCACTTTGGTCATCCATGATCCATCTTGAGTTTGCTGAGAGAGGTAGAGAGTGAGACAGAGAAGCAAAGGAAAGAAGGAAGATTGTTAGGATTGGTGTCATGGTTTTGTTCAAGAACTTCAAGGTAAAAAAGATGAAGATAGAGGATAATATAAATCAAGTGGATTGATTATGGGGTATTTAAACTAGTGAGTAGCTTAAGGAATAAGCTAGGGTGAAGTATTTCACTAAACGAAATTTGAAAATACAATTAGGTCACTGGCGGAGCAGACTACTTGTATTGGTGGTACGGGTAGCAATGGTGGTAGTGCGGAAAAAAACATGGTGGTACGAGTAATAGCAATAGCGGTAGTGGGGAAAAGACATGGTGGATGGAAGAAAAGGGAGAAAAAAGAAAATAAAATTTCAGATAAGTGTCCATGTCAGCTAGTCAAGTGGGGTTTGGGAAGGGAGTCAACCTGCTTTCAAGTGAGATTGCTAATATTTTATTTTTGGGTTAGTAATTGTACTTTTTTTTTTTTTTGATTTGATGGCCTTGTTGCATTTTCAGGTTTCATTTAGTGATTAATTTGACACTTATTTCGTGACTTAATAATACAAATGTCTTTTAGCTTAGTTGGATTATGAAAAGTTAGGTACAGCTAACATCTTTGCAAAACCACATTTCTATTTTTACACCACCTCACACATGCATATATTCTCACAATATTGCATTTTTCTATCTTCGGCTTAAAAATATTTTAAATCACAACTTGTTTTATTTGTGTCATTATTAACAATTGAATTTGAAAATTTAACCTTTATAAACGCTTAACTTTGCTCCTGAATATGTTATATTTAATATTCTGTCCTTAATATAATGTTATACTGCATCTATTTCATTTTTATGTATTAAATTTGAGTACAATTATTCAATTAAAATTCATGCATTCAAAAAAAAAAAATCAATTAAAATTCATTGTTATTAGATCCAATTAAATAATTGTTCTTACTTGTAAACGTTTAGGTTATTTTAATTTTCTATTCATCATGTATATGTCTATATATTATTAATAAATTTTAATTCTTTTTGAAAAGTATTATTATTATTATTATTATTATTATTATTATTATTATTATTGTTATTATTATTATTATGCATGTTTTAAGTATTAAAAAATCACATTTAAAATAACTAATGAATTTACAAGATCAAACAAATAGATAATATGTAACAATATATTAAAACATCCCATCTTTAATTAATATTTCATAACATATTGTAAAGAGATGAAGTACAAATAAGCCACTAAATTATTTGGGAAATAACAATTTAGCCACTGAACTCAAATAACGTCCAAATAAGCCACTGAACCAGAAAAAAAAAGTTAATTAACATTTTTAACAAGTTAACTTTCATTTTTGCTAATTGGATAGCGGCACATTATTTTATTTTATTTATTATTATTATTTATTTTTATTATTATTATAATCCACATAGATTATTTGTAAG